GGACCGAAACGTCAGCTTTCCTGCTCCTATGATGCTGCTTGGCCTGCTGTGTTCATCCAGCTCTACACCGTGTTATCTCAGATTCTCCAGCATCTGCAGTTCCTACTAGCTCATGAGGAAGGTCAGGCTGAGCATAGATGCCTTCACTAGACCGTTCAATCTACAGTCAAATATTAGCACCATTACAATCAGGTTTAATGCCCCACGTAGCCAGCAGACACTCATGGAGGCAATGCAGGACTTGGTCATTGTTGATGTTCATTAGTGCATTAAGGAGGTAACTGAAGTCTTATTTTTCTATGCGTCCACTTAGATGCACTTTGGTGATTTCTCCGAGGTACAGAGCACTATTCCCTGCATAATCACAACCATTCATGTGCTTGCTGACAGTACCATACTTCACTTCGCAAGGAACGGCTTTTACGCTCAGATATTGTGATTCTGATTAGAAAACAATGTTTGTCGATGTGCACAACCTGGCAGGCACAGATGATCTTATAAGACTAACTATTGTAATGGTTCCCGAGAAGGAAGAATTGAGAGCTAATTCAATGAGCTGTTGTTATTCTGTGTGACCATGATTGACACATAATACCCAATTTAGTAGCAAATATAAAATATAAATTTTCGTATTTATGAATCATAATCTTCATTGAACAGGCATCTGTGGGGCCGATTGCCTATGGAAGAAACAGGAACAGGAAACCTTAAAGAAATCTCTACGGGCGACAGGAAACCTATAAATACATTTTGTGTAGTCTCATTACAAGGCAGCCTTCAAAGTGGACACTAATTAATTGCAGCAGACACTTCAGCCATACGAGATCTGTACTGCCTCATCTTTCACCCTGTGAACTCTATGATTGGCCACCTTTTTTTTCAAAATGACATTATCAATAACAGAATTGGTACTTGACTTTCAATGAGAACAATGAGTTATTTACAGTTGGACAAGTAACTGTTTCATGCATAATAAGAAATTGACAGACTATTACGGATAACATAACTCATAACATGTATAGATTATACAATAATATGATTTTGTTACTTTCACTGGACTTGATGGCTGAGCGTAGATGGATTGTCAATGAAAATTATGATTTCTGCATATTTGTAAAAATGCTCAGTATCTTTTCTTTCTGTTGCACTTTTCTTCAGTTGCGTGCTCCTTTATGTAGTTAACATAATGCAAAAATCCTGAATGCTCCCAGAACTAAACGAGTAATGGTGGAGGGTAATCATTCAAGCAACTTGTCAGCATGAAGGAATTCCTAAGAAGCACTATTTCTATAGTTTTTTTAATCTGCTATAGATGTTTCAAAATTGGAGGAAAGCCTTGCTGTAATTGTGCGTTAACCACAACTTAAATGTAGTCCCTCCATTACCTGTATTACCAGGCTAATCAATGGTGTCAAATTGCCACTGATGAAAGCAAAGCCTGTGACTTCACAAGGAAGAATTTTGTTATCCATCAGCATGTTGGCATTCATGACTATTTTGACTCCTTCCTTCATCATTGCCTGTGAGGCAGCCCATCCACAACACATTCCAGTACCTTGAGGAAAGGGGTAAGTGACTGCTAGGCTTTTGCATGTGTTATGTATTCCATTTGCAAGAGCAAACCACACAAGCTTTGTAGCCAGAAGCAAATTAAAAAGGATCAAGCAGCCAGCCAGCTTGTTGCGTTGTGTTTGCCTGTCTCTGAATATTCCCGACCTCTTCTGTCCCTTCTTCATCAGCCCTGTGTTTTATATAGCATTTCTATGGATATCATCATCTTTTTTGTATGGTGTTTGAATGTGACATAGAGCTTGGTACAAGTATGAATGTTCACATCCTATGGAAAATGTCTCTGTGTTATTGGATGTTACACTAGGAAGAGAGGTAGGGGAGATGTATTAGCATGTAAAATGCTTATGAGTTTGGGCATTTTATTGCCATTAAATGAGGCATTATGCAGTTATAAGCAGTAAATTTGTATGGTCAAATAAACAAAACATATGGAGTATCATTTAGTCTGCATATCCATCAACACTCCTCGCCATATTGACCAAGCAAGATCTCTTCTGAATATGTCTCACTAATAATGTAATAAATCTCCTCCCATAATTAGTGCACCCCCAAAACCTTAATTACAAGTTACAATCTGTTGCCACATTGTACTTTAAAAATGGTTTTCTAGACCAATGCAAGGGGAATTTTCACTTTGAAATTAATTTCTCAGTCAGTAACAATTATCAGTTTCTCATTTATATGCACTTTGCTTTACGAAATTTTTATGTTGGCTGAGAGCTTCCCATCCAGTGTGCTTATTGCAAATTCAGTCTCGGGGATCAGTGCATCCCATGAGACTGCCCATACATTACCTCATTTGTCTTCACTATAGGATGACCGTCCAATGAAACAAAGAGATTATTTCTCTCACAGCACTATTCACGCCGCTGCCTGGAAATTTATTCTGAATTATACAGCCTATCACAATGAGTAAGTCTTATTTACTGCTGAATCACCAATGTATCACCAACTGACTTATTCCGATTGATTGCCAATTTCGATGTGCTGCTAGGGTAGGTGGTAGAAGCAGATACAAAAGCAACATTCAAGAACAGGCAGGGAATAGAGGGAGATGGACTATATCCAGACAGATAGGATTAGTTTGGAATGGCAATATGGTCAGTACAGACATGGTGGGCTGAAGGACCTGTGCTGTACTGTTCTATGTTCTAAACTGTGAAGCTAACATTATTCAAGTGGTTTATAAATGATTTTGTAAGTAAACTTATATAAAATTTCAATGGCAGGAAAGGGCTCATTTGGCTGCCAGTTAATTAGTAACTGTTAAAATTCAGAAAACAAGAATTAAAAGAGCAAAATATACCCCAATATCTTTTCTCTTTTTTCGGACGTTATAATCATTAAAGAAAGGTGTAAAGCAATATATAATGTGAAACCATGTGAAAAGTTATCGATTTGGGTGTTATATAAGCATTAAAATTTTCTATTTAACCTTTAACATTTTTGTATATACTATGGAGAAAGCAGTTTTGCTCATTTATTTGTTCTGTTAGAGAAAAATATCCTTTCTACGTCTTTATTGAACCTGCACTTCCACAATTGTGTCTTGTTATTTTCTCATTTCAAAGAGACAGATCAGTTATCCTGACATTTTAGAGGGCAGGATGCATTAGTATATGAAAATGATGGGACATTCCTTTTAATATTATTATGTTATTAAAGCTATGGTATGCTCTGAGGGCTATGCAGAAGCAATAGTCCATCTAGCAGTGCACAACAGCTTAATTCTTAACATTAATGCTTCTTTTATAAGAGATTTGCCTATTTTTGTGTATTTATGCCTTTTCAAAATCTGATGTAATAAGACATTTTTGCTATAAAAAATTCTTAAGTTTGTTTATGGAATATGGGCAGCACTGACTAGGCCAGCATTTATTGCCCATCTTTGATTGCTCAGAGGGCATTAAAAGTTGACCAGATTGCTGTGTGTCTGGAATCACACGTAGGCCAAACCAGGTAAGGACTACAAATTTCCTTCCACATTTATTCAGTAAATGGTATGGCCCTGGGGAGTGTTGTCGAACAAGGAGACCTAGGAGTGCAGGTGCATAGTTCCTTGAAAGTAGAGTCACAGGTAGGCAGGGTAGTGAAGAAGGCATTTGGCACGCTTGCCTTCATTGGTCAGAACATTACGTGTAACAGTTGGGATGTCATGTTGCAGCTGTACAGGACATTGGTGAGGCCATTTTTGGAATTCTGTGTACAATTCTGGTCGCCCTTCTATAGGAAGGATGTTGTTAAACTTGAGGGGGTGCAAAAAAGATTTACAAGGATGTTGCTGGGACTGGCGGATTTGAGTTATAGGGAGAGGCTGAATAGGCTGGGTTTTTTTTTCCCTGGAGCTTTGGAGGCTGAGGTTGTATAGAGGTTTATAAATCATGAGGGGCATCGATCGGGTGAATAGCCAAAGTCTTTTTCCTAGGGTGAGGGAGTCTAAATCAAGAGGTCATAGGTTTAAGATGAGAGGGGAAAGATTTAAAAAGGACCTGAGGGGTAATTCTGTCATGCAGAGGGTTGTGTGTGTATGGAACAAGCTGGCAGTGAAAGTGGTGGAGGCGCATACAGGTACAACATTTAAAAGGAATCTGGATGGGTTTACAGATAGGAACTGTTTGAGGGATATGGGCTAAATGCAGGCAAGTGGGACTAGATCAGATTGTGATGTCTGGTCTGTGTAGACAAGTTGTATGTAGCTGTAACTCGATGACTACTGCATAAAAATTGGCTAAAGTATTATTGTTCTGCCCATTTCAGCTGATTTTTTTAAAACTGTATACCCCACTTCTGATAAAGGCATCAAATTCCATTGCAAATATTGCCCTCCTGTTTATCCAAAAATATTCCATATCTTTAATCACAGTCTGATTTAAATTTCACTTCTGTGTCTATCAGCAAATGTACATGCATGGAACATCACATCAAATGCAATTGAGCCCACGTGTGCATTTTTCAGTTGAAATTACTAGACAGCTAACAGGAGCAGGAATCCTGGATGAATCTTCCTTAAGTCCAAGAGCAATGAGTCATTTTATTTCCTAAACTGCCATCCAAGCTCTGAACTGTTAAGTCAGCATAAGCTAGTAATTGAACCTTAAACCTTTTGTTAAACAAATGATGGACCATCAACCCAAATGAGAGAAGTAAAGTTGGCATATATACTACTGCTGAATCATTAACATATAACATGTACTGATCTAGTTTATGATTCAGGATAAAATCTTCACCTAAGGACTGCATATCAAAACTTTGAGCACAGAGGTCAGCTAACTCAATTTTTGGCCTAGACAATTTTTATTACATTAACATAAACAGAACAAGATTGATGTATATGCCAGCCACCAGTCATATTGTTTACTTAAGTTTCACAATTCAAGTCCATGAAACATACGAACAAAAATAGGCTTTTCAGCCCATTGAGATTGTTCTGCCATTTAATGATTTCATGGCTGACCTGATAATTCTCAACTTCACCTTCCTGCCTTTTCCCTATCATGGATGGATTTGAAGTAAAATATAAATCCTATTTTGATTCAGGAATGTCAGTCCAACTATGCTGTTTCCAAATTAGGGACACAATTTATTTCTGTGAAAGAGCCCAGTATACTGATTGCTGAGACACACTGGTACAACTGCTAATTCCAAATATTCCCACTGGTCATTGACAGGAAATTTGTGGGCTTGTTAGCGCAAAAGTAGGATGAGTTGAGGTGTAGACTATTTTCTAAACGGGAAAAGATTTCAGAAGTCCGAAGCACAAAATGACTTGGGCTTCTGAGGTCAGGATTCTCTGAAGGTTAACATGTAGCTTCAGTTGGCAGTTAGGAAGGCAAATACAATGTTAGCATCGTTTCAAGAGGACCAGAACACAAGAGCAGAGGTATACCTCTGAGGCTGTATAAGGCTGTGGTCAGACAACATTTGGAATATTGTGAGCAGTTTTGGGCCCCATATCTGAAAGTGGATGTCCTTGCATTGGAGGGGGTCCAAAGGAGGTTTACAGGAATGATCCTGGGCATGAGGGCATGTCATATGAGGAGGGTTTGAGGATGCTGGGTGTGTATTTGATGGAATTTAAAAAAATGAGGGGGACTCTGATTGAAACTTATAAAATACTGAGAGGCCTGTATAGAGGGGACGTGGAGAAGATGTTTCTATTAGTAGGAGAGACTAGGACACCAGGGCACAGCTCCAAAGTGAAGGGACAACCCTTTAGAACTGAGATGAGGAGGAACTTCTTTGGCCAGGGTGTGGTTAATCTGTAGAACTCCTTGTTGCAGAGGCTGTGGAGGCCAAGTCAGTGAGTATATTTAAGACAGAGGTTGGTTCTTGATTAATGAGGAGATCAAGGGTCATGAGAAGAAAGCAGAATAATTAGATTAAGAAATGTGTCAGCCATGTTTGAATGGCGGACCAAACCCGATGGGCCAAATATCATGATTCTGTTCCTCTGTGTCTTATGATGAGTGCCTTAACAAAAAAGAGAGACATGAGGCTGTACCCACCCCACCCAAAATAAATTGCCATTAATAGTCTTAAGGTGGAGCCTTTGCTCCCCAAGGACAGGAGGCCTTGCATCAGAGCTGACAGTCCAAACAGAAGTTGGTAACTCTCCAGAACCTCAGGGCAGAGATGTGAAATGTTGGATTGAGGTTTAGCTAAGTATACAGGGACAGCACTGAGTTGGAAAGCTCTCAAGCTGTGGTAAGGTATATGACAGGGCAACGGTACTGTGGTATTGAGAGACCTAAAGTGAACTTAAAGTGCCCTTGCAAACTTGGGAAGTGTAAAACTTGGGAGAGGTCCCACAACGCAGTATATTAAGGATTGACACCAACCCTCCAGCTCTGGTTGCTTTGTGTGACACTCTCCTGCCACTTGTCAAAAAAATGCAGTCTGGGTGAAATTGACTGAACTAGGACAGGAGAATCACTTAAAAGAAGAATAGCAGCAGACAAATAGGGACATCACTACCTGTAAGTTCCCTTCAAGCCACACATAATCTTGACTTGGATTTATCCAACTGCTGCTTTACTGTCACTAGGTAAAAATCCAAGGCCTTCCTCCCTAACAAAGTGGGTTTACCTTCACCACATAGACTGCAGCAGTTCAACGCAGTGAGTCATTGCCATGTTTTCAAGGATAGTTAGGGATGGCAACAAATGCTCGACTTGCCAGCAATGCTTGCACCCCACAATCAAACAAAAAATGTAAACAAATCACAGAGAGATGTCAACCCTAGAATCTCATAACTTGAGACAGACTCTTGAATTTTCCAAGCATAAATAACCACAAGTGCAGATTAATAGTTGGTTCATGAATCTCGCTAGTGGCTTATTTTAATTTCTCAATGGTCAGACTTTTTTAAAAACTATGGGCTAAACTTTATATGGGCTTCAGCATTCAGACTTCAAGACATCTGCCAGCAGAGACATGAGCTCAGCAATTTTACTGCAAGCAGCCTATTTGTTGGCTGCATATTAACCCACTGTCTTACTAGAGAATATGAGCGGGCTCCTGATGATGTCAGACTGATCAGGTAGCCATCAGTTCTGGAGCTTCAGCAATCCGAGGGAAGATGAGCACTGCCAAAGCAGCAAAGAAACTGGAGGATATCTCAATATTAAATAATCTTTTATAAGGGGGCTGAGGGTCACAGGGGAAACCCACCAGGGGTCATTCAGTTCGTGGAGACTGTTTTCCCTGCCCTCCTCTTTGGAACATGAAGCTTCAGGCTCTGTTCATCCACCAACTGGTACAGGGAGGCTGCCTCCTTAATTCAACAGTCTCCCCACCCAGAAATGGGGCTGTTCAACCCTTGGCAGGGATCCAGAACTATCTAAAGAAATATCCTTTGTAGGACCTTTATATGTATATGAAGGAAACAAGTTACTGATTGACCAGTGTCAGGGACATATCCCAAGCTGGATTCCTACTATTGTTTCAAACTCCTTGCCTCCATTTCTTCCTTTTGGCATGCTGGTAATATTCAAGCTAGAGCTGCACAGCACTATCAGTTGTGGCAAAAAACACCTGTGTACAAGTACCCTGTGTCTAATTGCCACGCTTTGGTGGTGGAGATTGGGATGGCATCTGCACAGGAAAGATAAAATGTAACGAGTCTCCTTTTCATTGTTCTTTATCTGAAAAATTTGCATTTATGAGAAGACCATTACTGGTTTAATTAAAACATAGTGCAAAGCCCCTCAAGAATTATAAAGAGGTGGGGAAATGCAAGGAGTGTAGGGTTTAGGGAGGGAAACGATTTGAAGCGAAGTGTCTTTTGCCTTGTTTTAGGTAGCTATGTGTGTTAGTCAATGCAGCCATCAGTGGAAACATCATGCTAATGGAATAACAACAATGTGAAAGATTGAAGTCC